GAAAGATGGAGAGTGAGAGAGCGGCAGCCATAGTCAGAGGTTGGGAGCTTACTGCTCCACCCTTGCGTTGGTGCTGTGCCCGACGGGCTGCATCAGGGCTAGATGGTGCGGCAAGCGGTGCCGGGGCAGAAACCCTAAGAAGGGTATCAGCCCGTGTTTTTCGATGGCGGACGTTGTCCGACCTTTTTCATTGAATTGAAGGTTTTGATGAGATTAATGTTCGCCAAAGATCTTTTCAGGCTAACCTATGACTGAGAGACTGAGATGTTCTTTGGACTTTAGACTGGCTGTCTGCATCGCCCGAAAATAATGACGGAAGTCGACGGGTTCTGTTGAGGCCGCAGGGGCACGTGGACCTGAAAGAACTATGGTTAGATCTATCCTACCTAAGATACTGCAGCCGCGCAATTCACAGCCCACGAGGCTAATAGGGGCCTCCGGGTTGAAGGCACAACGGTGGCCGAGAGGACAACGGCCTGCTCTGATAAGAGTTGGAGACCGCCGCGGTTGATACATGCGGCCAACTTGATGGGGCAGGCAGGGCCGGCAAGGCCTCAAGCTGGCAAGGCAGCAGGGTCACAGGCAGGCAGGGCCTGGAAGGCCACTGCAGAGGGGAATGAAGACAGGGCAGCCCTTCATATGGAAGAACTGCTCCTATCACAGTCATGATAGGAGCTAGCCTAGTAGGTTACGGTACAAGACTGTTACTCTACAAGACTGTCACTCGGCAGATATCGGGATCGAATCGGAGGAACCACACCTCTGGGCTAGCTCCTTTTAGAGCTGCCCATCCTGATTGTTGTCGGCGCAGTTCATTCCGACCGTTCGATCATGAAGATCTCATGATTGAGAATCAGCCACACGGGGTAGATTAGCATGGCCCCTGTGCAAGGATGACACGCATAAATTGAGAGAAGTTTCGAGTCTCTCAGGACTCAAAACTCGGGTCTGTGCTTCAACAGCTCGTGGGTATACCACGACGCGACGTGACCGTTGGAAAAACCAACGAACTTTCGGAAAAAAAAAAAAAAAACTAAAACGAAAATGTGAGGCGCCACATGGCGCCGTTGGAAGAAACTGGGGCGTTTTAGCCCCAACAATTGTTGATTGCGCCCTGAAAAACGGGCGACAGTGGGAGAGGAAGCGGTTCATTTTTTTTCGTTTTCTTTCTTAGATTTTCGTTAGATTTTCATTAGATTTTTGTTAGTTTTTTTTTTTTTTTGTAAGTTTTTTCTTTTCTTTTCCTTCTTCTTGGTGCACTGTGCACCCGTTCGTTTCGAACGAACGGGCGAAAATTTGACTGTGCCAAGCTGTTTCGTCGGACTTACACCGACTCATCAGGGGGCTGTGCCCCGACAGCCATCTTCGAATGGGAAAACGAATGGGTTGCAGGGCGATGCCTGTACCCAACGCTGTTTGCATCCCGATACAGGCCCGCTGAGTACGAACGAGGGGGGGGGGAGGGGAATAAAGCCCTGATGGGCTTACCTCCAGTACGCCCCTGCAAATAAAGGGGCGGCCGTTCATTTCAAACGACGAGCTGCCCCTGCATAAATAAACGAGGGGTAGGTAGAAAAAGATGGAAAAAAAAGGGGGGGGGGGGGCGTCGCGAATTTGATCGCGACATCGGACCAGATGCAGGGGTAGAAGCATTTAGGCCCTTATATGACCACTGTTTTCAATGGCTTGATACAACCATTTTTGACTGCGTATGGCCAGGGGTGACGGCCAGATGCATTACCACGGTCTGGAACATTGGTTCCCCTAAGGGAACATCAGGATTTCTAGCCCTTGATCTCGTCTGAGATCGAGGGTCAGGCCTCACTCTGAATTTTGGCTGGGGGCAAAGCAACTGCCCTCAGCCTATAGCCAACTGTAAAACAGCCAGTAGCCAGCTAGCCATCATTCATTTGTGGCTGATGCTGCTAGCATCTCGCTTGGGTCAATGCTGGTTGTTGGAGGAGGAGCTGCCAGTGAAGTGAGAAGGAGCTGAGTGGAGGCCTGCAAGAGAGAGGGGGGGACCGCTGGAGGTAGCCATAGCTGTGGAGCACAACCATAACCGCCATCTCAGCGAGAGGAAGAGAAAGAAGCGTTGAAGGTGTGCAGAGAGCGTGAGAGTGAGGGTAGTCATAGTTGTCGCTGCACTTGGTGGAACGCAGGGGAGGTGTTGTTCGCTCATCACCGCAACGGCGACACTTTTTGGCGGTGACGAGGAAGCGATGCCGATTTTTTGCGGTGGCGGTACTGAGATTTTGCTGGTGACGCGAAAGTGCTGCCGAAATCTTGTTGTTTTTTTTGCAGCGACGCGGAAGTGTTGCCAAACATTTGCGGCGGCGGCAGTGTGGTCTAGGTGGTGGCGCGAAAGCGCTGGTCGTTTTGCCTTGACTGTGAGGGACATTTTGTGGCAGCGTGCTCTAGTATTGACGGCAACGACGTGGTGATGTGGTTAGTGTAACGACAATGCTGAGATATCATCAAATTATTGAGAAGTGATTGTGTGTTGAGGAGGTATTCTGGCAGACGGTCGTCGCAAGGGAGTGGTGTGGATCACTTTGTTGACGGCTCGTTGTAAAATTTTATTATCTCAAGGCGAAAATTTATACGGTTTTCTTAAGTGAGTCATACATCAGTTTTACTCAAGGTCAGTCAGTCGGTTGACCAGTACAAAATCGACTTCATGTGTGCAACCCAATCATCCAGCGCGGGACAACTCGTGTCAGGGTGCATCTGGGACGGTCGAAGGAAGTCCGCGGGAACACGCGGATGATAGCTGAGGTCGCAATAGTAAGGCGACATCCCCGTGGCTGGCGAC